GTGTGTTTGTGCGTGTTTAGATGCCTGTGTGTGTGTGTGTGAGACCGAGGAAAAGAGCACTCCCTTGATAGCTCTGTTGATGCTGCGAGCGGCTTTTTTCTTTTATTTTTTATTGTTTTTATTTATTTTGAAGATAATACACTATATGAATACAACAGAAAACATTAACCTTTACAAATTTCGTATCAACTTTTGTATGCTCAAAACAATAGTGTCATATCTAGATAAAATAGCCTAAGCTATATTGAAATAATTTAAAGAATTACAAATATCAGATATAATAAAATCACATTAAATAAATAAACCAATATAAAACTAACAAAAGCTTGCTATAACAATTAGGTACTATATCAAACTGCCATATTAAACTTAATATTAAAAAGCCATATTAAACTTTCATTTAAAACTTTTATTAGTGCATAGCTGCTGAGCGCAATGAAATATTGGCTATATTTTATTATGTGCTGCTCTTATGTGCTGAAACACTGAACACTTTCCTTTACTTAAGATATAATAAGCAAGATCTTTAAATAAAGGTAATCACCTATTAAGTGTCATAAAGCCTATAGGGAAAAGTTTATGTTTCAGTTCTCTCCGGAGCATTTAACATGAATGTTGGACAGCGTCTGTCTAACTGAGGGTGTTATAAACTACATTTTATATCGAGTTATTAATGGAGAATTTTATATATGTGGTTTTATATTATGGATGTGTGCGCTCCCGGCGCTGGGTCCCTCCGTTAGAGGCAAGACCACTGGATTTCGATGATGAATGAGAACACACAGGCATGTGCGTATAGACATACATTGTACTGCTGTACAGTAACGTGTCATTTGTTTGTTTTGGTTGTCCTAATTTTAACAGTTTTGTGATGATGTGGTGTGCTTTATCTGCCTGTTTCCCGCTGAAGTGGGCGGATTGAGTGACGTTCGATTCGGGGGACGTTCTGGGAGCGTGGTTTGCTTGACGCGCTGCGAGCTACTAGCCCAACAGTGGAAACGCGACATGATTTCGGCCTCACTGCTTAACGTCCCGGGCGATTGGCCCGGCCTGGCTCGATAAAAGCCCTGGCTCACACTGGCCCGATAGTGGAAATGCGGCTAATGACATTGCAGCAACTCCAATCATTTAGGCATACAGAGCACACTTGCCAACACTCAAGTTTTTCTCAGGAGTTTCGCGTACTGTAGAACCATCTCCCGCCACCCTCCCATTTTATTATAACTCCTGGAACCCCAGGTTCGCCAAGCTTTGTATAGTATTCGATCACAGTGACCGCTCGAAACCCGCTCCATAATACAGTTACTAACACCATAGTACATTTACTAACCAGGTTCTCAACAACAGTGTTATTTATACACATCACCTTAGAACACCCCACCCCCGGTCTGTGGCAGGTACAGTATGATGTAGAGAAGTGCGACATCCAAAACTATACATATAACCTCATTCACTATTCCACAGGTATCAAATCCAGTTCCAGGAACTGGATTTGACAACATGTGCACTATTCCCAATATTAGTACACTAGTCCACTTAAAGTGTGAATGAGCACTCAGTTCACCCGAAGGGATGCGTATTGAGTTGTTTACTAGTTATGAAACAAAGCATTTTGATAAAAATGGTAATTTAATATATTTAGAAATTTACACTAATAGGATGCTACTGTGGACGGCATGGTTGGCCATGTAATTTCATGAAGCATGCAGACTCTTATAGCGAATAATGGGTGTTTGTATTTTCTAGCTGTTGACCACTAGGGTTTCAGACACCACACCATCAAATAGTTCACCATTTAAGAGTATAGGGGTGATTTCAGAAACAGCCAATGTGTAGATGATCTGTTCAAGTTTAAACCAAGCATCAGAATGGGAAAGTGTGTTTTATAATGTGCCATAATTGTTGGCATTTCAGAAATGGCTAATCTACTCAGATTTTCATGCACAACCATTCCTAGGTTATTACAAGAATGTTTCGAAAAGGTTACAACCAAGGTCTGCAGAGGAGCATCTGTGACACAGCAACTCCAACACTGAAGCCTTTGTGCTACAGCAGCACATTGGTGATACTCCTGTCAGATACTGTAAGAAAGACTACTGTAAGTAAGGACAACAGAAAAATGGAAAAGCGCTTTATGTTCTGATGAGCCTTGGTTTTTGCTGTGAAATTCATTTGGTATAGGGTTGGAATTTAGCATAAGCATCATAAAAGCATGGATCATGTGTTGTATCAGGGGTTCAGGCAGTTACTGGTATAACAAAAAGGAACATTTCTTGACACACTTTTGGCCCCTTAGTATCAATTAAATTAATTTATTCAATAAATAAATAATTGTTACAGCCTACCTGGATATTGTTGCTGACCACATCCAGGGACCCATCTTAAGGATAGCTGCATGTTCATCTTAAACTGGTTTCTTGAACATGACAATGAGTACACTGTACTCAAATATCCTTCACAATTGAACAGCTTTGTGGTGTGCTGAAATGGGAGATTCATGTGCAGCTGACAAATCTGAAGGGACTACATGATGCTATGGACCAAGATTTCAGAGGAATCTTTCCAGCATCTTATAGAATCTATGCCATGAAGAAATAGAACAGTTATTAAAGCAAGAGTGGTCTGATGTAGTACTTTTTATGTTATACTGTGTGTTCATATGGTCTAAGGATTTAAATGAAGCTTGGTTCCGATCACTGTTATATGCAAGTATGTAATGGTTTCAGCAAATACTTTACAGACAGTCTAGCTGAGTAAACAATTTAGTCAGGTCTGTAAAACAGGTAAAAAGTTTAAATTGATCAGGATTGTTCAAAATATCATCATTTGACATTTGCAAGGAAATAATGTTTTAAATAGGGATGCACAATTACTTGAAAAAAAAGTTGCGATCTCAATTCTACCCTACACACAATCTTAATTCTGCTTTTCTTTGATTCAGCAAAATATATTTTCAAGGTCAGGAGAGAAGCGTAAAGGCAGTCGCACCAGTCTTCACATTGTTTTATACACGTTGCTCAGCAATATGAACACCTCTAAATGGTCTTAAAATTTTCATATGTCATTTCTGTCTTAATGTATTCGCGCCTGCAAAATCCTGCTTGGGCTGACGCACTGTTTGTATTTTACTGAGAGGAAGCACGCATGCCTGCCAATGATGTCTCAAACATAATATTTCAACTTCAGAATTATGAATATTTGTATTCTGATGCCATCACTTTACTGTGAATTAACAACCAGGAGATTTAAAGTCTGTTCAATTCCAACAATCCAAGTCTGTACAAAATGTTTCATTTTAATCAACAGTAAACCTACACATAGGCCTAATATTATTAGTGTCGTTTTACCATATGTTTGAGAAATACCAATAATAGCCAACTTAATTTAACCTTTATTTTACTTCTACAGAATCGTGAGAAAATTGTGATCTTGATAAAAAAAAAAAAAAAAAAAAAAAAACATTATTCTTATTTTAGCCAGAATCATGCAGCCCTATTTAAAATTATACAATGATAATCAAATCTTCACTGAATATTTGGTCAGATCATGTGCTGGAACTTGGCCAAACTCGATCTTGTGGACTCCAAGTCATTTCTTAAGTCATTTCCATTCTGATTCCGGGAGTTTTCACTCCATTTACTCATCCAAATAAAGACACCGAAGGGCAATTTCATGTCCATTAATATTTTACTAAAAAATGATCAAAATAAATATTTACAATTTTAACATATTAACCTAGTAAGGACACCACGTTCATCACAGCATTAGAGACCATGGGGGCAAAAAACCTAAGCCACTGTCCAAACACACCGATCTTCAATATGCATCAGGATCATAGTGTGTGTGTTTCTGAGACATAATGAGAATAGACGGCAGAGAGGAAAGAGAGGGAAAAACACAATGAAAGACAAACATACCGTGTGCTTGAGTCATTTATCGAGACGAGGGGTCGTCAGAACAAGAGGGACCATAAATTGCACTTTCAGTTAAAATGCAAGTTGAACAGAAGTAGGCAGAGAAAGATTGATTCGTTTTTCCATTACCGATGTCCTGAAGCCTTGAAACTGTCCACATCCTGTTTTATCGTCCAGATGTCCGTTGCTACAGTTTCTGGAGAACATGCTGAAGGCCTGAATGAGGTTACACAGTGTTTTTTTTGTTCATAAAAAAAAAGGCCAAAGCTGAACTCTGACAATGGCTCTCACGATACAAACAGTGTCTTCAGAGGTCAGTGTTCAGAACACTTTCTATTCTATTTCTATACAAGTTTGCGCAATTGAGTTCGATTACTTTCTCGTCCAGTTGAGTTTCTTTATATCATTCATAAAGACATCTGCTCTAAAATGAATGGACAAACATTTACAAACTTCTCAAAACCATTTTTTCCCCCTCCAGTAATCACATGAATCAAAAATAAAATATACTTCTGTGGAAAAAATAAAACAGTCTAAAGGGTACCATGGTCTACAACTGCACAGTGATTATGCAGGGCATGGCTTGGGAAAGAGCAGCGGCTGAGATGCACTGAGAGTGTGTGCCACATTCCCGAGAAACATGGGCGCATAGGTCACTGGCACTGATAACATGCCCATGTTATTAAATCCATAGAAGTTCATGTACATCTACATATATCAAATCTTTTTTAAAATCATTTTCTAACCATTATTGCGATGAATCCGTTGTCTAAAGATGATTTAAAAAGTGAATTACACTTTGTCAACTACAGAATCGGCTATTTACAAATTCATTAAAAAGCAAGCGAGTTGTACAGTCTTCTATTTACAAAATGTAAATAATTCATTTTAGGTATGATTTTATAGAATATATATTTATATATATGAACTCTTCTTCACAGTTTATTTAATAAGTATTCATTAATACTATACTCGTGTCAATAATACCCTCTCGGGCAAACAAATGCCCATTTTACATTTATGCTAAGATGTGGATTTGTGGCGTTTCAGTTTGACGAGGATTATGGCAGAGTGTTAGAACAAGCAGATCTTTTTTTCCACCCAACATTTACCAAGATTCAGTTGAATTTGCGTTTTTGTGGCACCCGCTTCACCCTCAGAGGCATCACAAGTTCTTTAAATGTACATGATGGAATCAAAAGTCAGCGCGATAACCATATCGTCCTAACAGTGTAATATCTTCTCCCCAGAGTGTGAAGCCACCAGGGGTCTTGGTTCCTTTCGAAAACTACCTTGTCAGCACAATTGCTCAGCTTGATGGCGTCATTGCTGTAGGGTCGGTGTTCTGATGTCTGTTTTGCGGTCTTGTGGAGTTTAAGGCACTTTAATGTTTTTGGTTTTCACGGTAAGTCGGATGACACCAGAGCCAGTCCGGAGCTCTGCCGCAGCGAGGGGCCGGAATGAACAGCCTTTGGGCAATCAGGAGTCAGGACGCGTCCGTTCTCACCCACGCTCCCCGTAATGGACAGGCGCGCCTTGTTCCGCATGGCTTCGGTGAAGGTGAGCTACGTCCAGAGAGAAAACAGAAGTGGGGACAAGGAGAATGCAAGTCAGAGGTGCGTACGCAAAAAGCCAGAGCATTATTATTTGAATGAGTGCACATTATCAGCAAGCACATACAAAACACCAGATTATGACACAGTTCAGCAATGAAGCGTCTTGAATGCATCTGGTTTAGTCCTTTAGAGCCAAAAATGAATTTGAATTCACAACTTGGGGGTTTTAAAGACTATGCCTAGGGATTATCTTTGGTTTTGATTAACTATTCTTTACTCGAGATGTGTAACGCACCGGTGTGTGAATATTTATGTGCAATCCAGATACCTCGGGTTTCGGCATGCGCAAATATGCAAATGCATAGTGAAGAAGCATCTGGCACACTCCTGTGGAGCCAAAAATTACTTGAAACTGACAACTAGGGGGCTTTCAATACTCTGCTCAATATCAAAGGATCATCTTAACTATAATTTATAACTTGATAAAAGTTTTGATACAAAATTGTGCAGTTCATATACCTTGGGCTTTATCATTAGCAAATATGTAAATTCACAACAATGAATCATCTTGGATGCACCTGGCAAAGTTACTTGAAATAGACAACAAAGTTTTTTCAAGACTACACCTATGGTTGAAATAATTGTAAGTTTGCTTACCTATGCTTCTTTACTCTGTAAGAGAGATTACTTCTCTGGTGTTTGAATATGCAATTCAGGTACTTCGATCTTTAGCATGCATAAATATACAAATGCATAGCAAAGAAGCATCTCGAATGTATCTGCCACATTTTTGGAGCCAGAAATAGACAACTTGTCCGGGGATTTAAGGACTATGCTTGGGAACAAAGGATTGTATTAAGATTTGCTAATCTATTCTTGTTGACTCAGTAAGAGAGATTCCACACTGCTCTGCTGAGTGATTACAAACATGTGTCGTCCAAGAACCTTAACCTCTCAATTCATCTAGCATAGTCCTCCAGAGCCTAAAATTACTAGAAGGTTTTCAAAACTACTGTTATGATCAAAAGATTGCCTTAAGCTTTAACCTTTCCTGTCTACTAAAAAAACTTTTTGTGAGTAGAGATTACAAACGAGAGATTACAAACATGCAGTTGGGATTTCCCAAACTTTAGCATGCGCAAATATGTCACTGCATAATGATGGAACATCTTGAATGCATCTAGCAAAGTCCTTTGCAGACAAAAATTACCTGAATTTGACAACTGGCTGGGATTCAAGGCTATACCTAGGATCAAATAAGTTTTAGTTTAACCTAACTATTCTTGCTGACCTGTCAAATGAGTTCACTGCATACATACTATGTACCTCAGAGTCAATGCACCTGGCATAATCATCTGGAGCCGACAATCAAAAGAGGTTACCACACTAGCAAGTGATTTCAAATGTGCAGTTTGTCTCAGTTTTCAGCATGCGCAAACATCCGAATTCAAAGTGATGAAGCATCTCGAATGCATCTGGCTAAGTCATTTGGACCCAACGATGATTTAAAATCAACAACCAAAGGTTTTTTAAGACTGTGCCATAGATCAAAGGATTGTCTTAAATATATTCTTCACTTGGTAAGAGAGGCTACTGGTGTGTGATTACAAATGTCTGCAGTCCAGGTACCTCAGTCTTCGGCATGCGCAATAATGTTAATGCACGTCTCTGATTCAGAGTACACGTGGTGGAGACAGAACAAGGACATCACAAACACAAGAAGCTTTACCACGGGCTCACACACGGCAAGCTACGGCAGCGAAAACAGAGGAGCTCCACTTACGACTGCCGGCCACCTATGTACATCTGACCTCCTACATCTCTACTCCTTCTGTGGCGTAGACGTTGTAACCCTCTCTATATGTTGCTAAACTCTGAGTGCTGTGGGTGGGACTGGGCCCTGGTGAGGGATGGGGGCTGGGGAGGGGGACGGGACTGGGGAGAGGAGAGGAAGAGGGGCGACGTTCAGACTGTTCCACCTTCATTCTCTTGGCCTCGTTTCGGGACTTGTAGCAGAACTCGATGAGGGCCACCAGCATGGCCAGGCCCAGGCCCCCGACCAGAATGTAGAAGACCCCAGCCACATTACTGAGGCTGAGGGCCTGTGAGCTCTTGTCCTGGATGTGAGAGGAAGGAAAGAAACAGGAAGACAGGAAGTTAACGGGGCGGGATTGGTGTACACTTACATACACACACACACACACACACACACACTCACTCACATACACACTTGCACTCATTGACTAGTCTAAATATCTACTTGCTACCAAACACATTCACTCACATATACAGTTTACAGATGAATCAATTCATATCCTCCAATCAACCTCCTAAACTAAAAGGCTGATGTTTTTGTGGCGACTTTGACACACAGGCATCAGTGCTTTGACAGGGTTCTAATTAGTATGTAATTACAGGAAATGTCTTACTTTTGGCTGTGCTTTCAAATGGATCACTAGCTCCCTGTGCAAGTTCTCCAATTTAAATTCTTGCTACGTTTTAGCTTATCACCATGTGCGGTGCGTTTCTGGCTCCACAAAATTCAGGTTTGCTTGGCTTGTCATGCAAAAAGACATCAATGGCACGCTCGGCTAAATAAACTTGGGATACCTCCAAAAGCCCAGTCACTTCCATTCCTCTCAGGTACTACAGTAGGTGTGTTATCAAAAACAGAGATCTCTAATAAGACAGTTAGTGTGGAGAAGCAGGGCATGCTGGAACTATCTTGCTTGGTGCACGTCTAAAATCTCCCTACAGATAAGCATGCGCTAGATACTGGTGACTCTCTGCCTCACTGAGCATTAGACAACAGTGATGGTCCCAGACTTATGGAGACTGACCTTACTTCCCGAGTCCTTGGGTCCACACTCGCCCTTATCGTACCACCATTTGTTTTTCAGCTTGTCTAAGATGCCTGATTCACTCAGTTTCAAAACGGCAAGGTTTACGGGGGTTCTTCAACCGCGCAGAGGAATGTAACACAAATAACATAAATAACATCATAGGACATGTTATTTTATGTTATTCACTGATAACAGCTGACAGAGCAGTTGCACTGGCAAAGTGACCGAGCCAAGGATCCCGTTGTAGTACATGTCTCTGTGCTCCATTTAGGGGCCTGGCACTGGAGCCACAGACATATGAACGGGACCTTGTTCCATCGCTTTAGGTAACGGGCGCATACTGCCACGGCCTGTTTCTGTACCAACGCTGGAGGCAATTACTGTTAAACCACAATTATTGGCATATATACCGCAGGCAGCAAACTTTCTGTGTTCCTCTAAACTGTTATGAATTTCACTTATGACTTTGAATCGTGTCTTTAATACGTAATTATGATGGGACTCTGCAGCAACACTGCATGCCGGTACAAAATGCAGCTAATGCACCTCAGGAGGAGAAAATCATTAACTAGAGGTAAAGAGATGCCACTAGGTAAAGAGAAGAGGAAAAGTTCCTTGATGAATGAAAGAAGATCAAGGAAGGAATCTCTGCCTGGTATCCAGGGCGAATACTTGTGCTTTGACAGTAATTGCGTTCCTCTTTCTCCTCAGGCTAAATAGGGTCAGGATTAAGGTCAGGTATGTGATTGCGCCCCGGCAGATGCTCCTGTTACAGAGGAAACTGTTTACCCGCGTTGGTTGACATAGTGGCTAACCTTCTCACCACCTCCTCCGCTGCCACACTCTCCTTTGTCGTACCACCACTTGTTTTTCAATTTGTCCAACAGGCCTTGTTCATTCAGTTTTAAAACTGCCAGGTTAACTGCACTTCTTGAAACGATAAAACATAGTTTGTCAGTAGCAGCAGTTTGTCATAGTTGAGCAGAATCCAATCAGGTTAAATCAAGAAAGAAAGGGGTGGAAAGCTCTATAGATTAGTCACCCGTTCCCACCCAACTTCCCCTTAGAAAACACGAAAACACCAAACCACGGAGGACAAACCTCTCTTTTCCTGTTTTCACGTTAATTCACACCAGCCTTATCTGTCTACTCGTACTGCACACCTCCAGATGGGGGAATGGAGAAATCAATATCTGCTCTCCGCTTTTAAACCCCCCTCCCCAACCCTATTAGCTAGCCTTATTTGCCATCTTTATTCGTCTGCTTTACTATGTGCTCAATATTGCTGTGAGATGTGCAGAGGGACCTCATGATATTGAATGCCTGTTACTTTACCTATATGCTGTTTACAGACAGTTTAAATGAGCACTGTAGGTTTAAGCCTCTGAAAGTGCTGAATGAGTTTGATCTTGTTCCCCTAAGCCTTGTATTCCCACCCTTGGTTTTAGCCATGCGAGAGCTGGAAAAACAATTAAACACCATCTTTCCCTGCTGTTCTCAGGATGGTAACAGTTCTGAGGGTAATGGTCTGCTAATTTAGGTATATGATGTCGCACACACACAGTGGGGTTCAAAAAGTAAAAGACCACATGAAAAATACCAGTATTTAGCATTTTATAATTAAGCAGTACAAATTATAATGCTCTGTTATCTAGATATTTATACAGTGCTCAGCATAATTGAGTACACCCCATTTTGGAAAATTGTATCCATTTCTCAGTGAATATATTTTAGTGCATTTAAACAAAATATCCTCATTAAACAGATATATTTATTAAAATATATTAACAATATTTTAGTCACCAAGCATATTTAGAAATCAAAAGATAATGCAATTAAATTCAAAGAAAATATCGCGTAAAATAATTACAACCTACAAAATTTCAACAATTTTTTTCTTTTTTTGCTTCTCTTGATTTTTCCTCTTTTTTAATTGTTATTTAATATTTTTCCATAACAGAATTTTGGGTGTACTAGTTTTTGGACCGTTATGGTAAGTTATTTTGTTAGATAAGCTCCAGTTTTAGTTTCAGTACTGACTAATTTAATGTATATCCACAGATATATTATTGTATAGCTTCTTATTAAAAACATGAATTAAAAAGCTAGATTTGTGAGGGGTTTACTTATATATGCTGAGCACTGTATATCACAGAATATTATTATTTGCAGTGATTTTTTTATTTCACATGATTTGAAAATATTACAAAGAGCATGTTAAGTATTGAAATAAGCAGACCAATTTTTTTTACTCAATACTAAATAATATAATCCATATTATTTATTAATAATCAATATTACTTAATTGATTATTTTACATATTTAATAAATAAATAAATAAAATGTTAAATACAGTTGAAGTCATAACTATTAGCCCCTCTTTGAATTATTTTTCTATATATTTTTTTATATTTCCCAAATGATGTTTAACAGAGCAAGAAAAGTTTCACAGTATATCTGATAAGATTTTTTTCTTCTGGAGAAAGTCTTATTTGTTTTATTTCGGCCACAATAAAAGCAGTTATTCATTTTTTAAATACCATTTTAAGGACAAATTTATTAGCCCCTTTAAGCAATTTTTTGATAGTCTACAGAACAAACCATTGTTGTACAATAACTTACTTAATTACCCTATTCTGCCTAGTTAACCTAGTTAAGCCCTTGAATGTCACTTTAAGCTGTATAGAAGTGTCTTGAAAAATATCTAGTCAAATATTATTTACTGTCATCATGGCAAAGATAAAATAAATCAGTAAGTAGAAATGAGTAACTAAAACTATTATGTGTAGAAATGTGTTTAAGAAATCATTTCTCCTTTAAACATAAACTGAGGAAAAAAATAAACAGAGGGGGCTAATAATTTAGGGGGGCTAATAATTCTGACTTCAACTGTATATATAGTTTCATCCAAAGATAAATCCTAGAAATTTAAGATTTATTGAATAACTAAATAAACAAATTGTGTACTTCAATGTCAAATTTAAAGGAACACTAAACTGTCTATTAATATTATTGATTTAGCTTTAAACAATAATCCTGGAAATAAATAGAAAGAGAAAAATATCAAATACTAATATCAAATATTGACTAAATTTATATATAAGAGGTCCCATGAAATTAAAATAAAGATTTTTAGATGTTGGTTTCAGTATTATTCCTTTCTAGCATATCTATAAGCCAGTGTCCACCAAAACAAAACAAAATTCACATTCAGAAGATATAAAACTGCTATAAACATGTAAAGCTTGTAGTTTGTCACTTCCACCCAAATGAATTAACATGAGATGAGAAACTGTAGTGTTAGTTGATGTAAATAAAACATTTAAGTCAACTCACACTACTGTTTGTCATCACATCATAACCAATAATCAAATGCTCTCTAGTGTCTGACATGCCCTGCCCACTTCAAGACGCTTCTCATTTGCTTTTCATTTGATTCACTTGAGCTCAACCCCTCTCACTGGCAGAGCGGTGATAAAACAAAACTCTACTGTTTTTAAAATGGGGAGAAGCTAAACTATGTCCCACCCACTCTTTATGTTGCGGTTGAGATTATGCCAAACATAGAATAAAATTGGATATTTCAAAACCCTTCATAGGATCTTTAAAGTATTTTTTTGTATGTTTTAAAACAAATTAACTTTTAAATTATAATTATTAAAATTATAATAACAATAATAATAATAACAAAAACAAGCAATCGAAATTAAACATGAATTTTTAATGTGGCCATAAACCTTTGGACTCCACTGCATAAGTTTAATCTCACTATTTAATAATTCAGTTAAGTTAAGGGTCAAAGAGTATACGATGGGAATGATTCAAGAGAGGTTTATCCTGAATGCAGTTTATCCTGAATGCAACACTGATAAACACACAGCCCACAGGAACAAAGAACGGGACAGGGAAAGAATGTAGTGAGACACGTCTGAGCTGAGGAGGGGAAGAGAAAGAAGAGCATTAAATGCACTGTGTGCTGTAGATGTGAAGCCCAGTGAATGTCCTGCACCGGTCCGACATCACAACACTACGAGAAAAAACGCTAATCCACTGGATGCTCAGGAGAAGAGCCACACAGACCACAATAACTCCATTACAAAACAGCTGATCCTGGAGCTACTGACATCTGTAACAGACTCCTCTCTGAGATGTTTCCACTTTTATTTATTTACAGGATATGAGTTCTCAGTATCATCCTTTCATATTTTACTAGCCGAAATGCTAATTCGTAATTTGGGTATTAAGATTTCTACTATTTCTGCAGTTTTTGATATCAGGAATTGCATTTCCAGAAGTAAAAATGTAAGTTCTTGATATCAATGATGACATGCTCTCTGAAATCAGGTATTAGCAAGAATTGTGTTTACAATAGTTACATATTAACATTCAAATTCAATTGTAGATATCAGGGTATTAACTTACGGTAAGTTTATACTAGTAGCAGGCTTACAATTTTTGATACTGATAAATACTACGTAACTAGTAAAAATGCAATTGTCACTAGTTGAAATGTTAATTCTTGATATAAGAAATTAAATTTCTACAAGTAACAATAACAATTTGACCTCAGGGGTAACACTTTACTTGAAGTGGGTGTACATAAGACTGCTATGACCACTTTGTGACATGACACAGCTTGAGATTTTGAGATGCATGGTTATGAGAACTGGCATTAAGTGTTATTTGCTCAGTTTTATTCTTAATAAATGCAAAGGTGACATTGTTTGAGATGTCTTTGTTATACCAAGTTGACAACCAAATACATCATAACCTTACTTCGTCATGACAATTAACTTGACATTATCAAGACAAAACCTGTCACAAATCTGTCATGAACATGATTGTCATGAGACCATTATAATCATGCATTTTATAACAGCATCCTTAATATTTTACTTGACCTCAACTAAAATTAACATTTTGAAAAAAGTGATCAGAAAACGATTAATGAAACAAATATAATGGCCTAAAGGCAATCATGTTTTGACAGATTTAAAGTTATTTTTGCATTTAAAATGAAATAACTGAGTGAATGACACTTCATAACAGTTGTCATTTGCATGCATAAAGTCTTATAAACACCTCCAAGTAAAGTGTTCCCAAATGCTAACTGCCATTGTTACTGGTAGAAATTCCTCATATCAAGAATCACGTCTGAAACGTCAAAAGTCTGTCAAAGTGTTGACATTGAGAATTGATACCCTGCAAAAAAAGAAAAGTCAAACCAGCTTGCCATCCCTTTCAGTATTTTTTTTAACATGGTGCTTCAGTTATTGGGCGTGATTATTACAATTCCCATCCCAGTTTTATGTGGGGAAAAATACTTTGCTATTTGTCAGACCAGGCAGAATATTCAGAGCTTGTTCATTTAAGTTCATTATTAAACAATTCAAACATAACATATTTTTCCAAACAAATTCAGTGGCATCATCATGCATGCATCAGATTACCTGCTTAAGGCTACATTAAAACCAAAAAGAGAAGAAAAAAAGAAAATATAGCACGACGCATAACACACTGCACACAAAAGCAAAAAAAAAGCAAATAAATAAGAAGAGAAGAATAGAAATAGGCACGCCAGGGAAGGTGGAATACCATAACAACACGTGGCATATTGTTATACTACTCCACCCACCTTAACTGTGAGCCCTTTGGCGTCGCCACCCCGTAGCCTTTGGAGTCCAGGTTTCCTCCGACTTTCATGGTGTCACATGGTTTGCGCTGCTCTGTGTATTCATTCATGGTGGACTCCAGGAGGAAGGCGTATTTCCCTTTGGATTTTCTGACCCGTGCGACTCCCTCTGCAGTGGTTTTGGTGAACACTGTGGGCTCTGCTGACTTCATGTAGCTCCACATCTTCTCATACACGGCGATCTTCGACCTCTGAAAGGTGGGGTAAAGGTGTACAGTGCCAGTGAAGCGAGCAGAGGGCACAATTGTTAGTGCTTGAATTGCAGATCAGAGGTAATCTGCCTTGTGGGAACTTAGATAATTAATATTTATAAATTAATTAATATGCAAATCAACGCATGCACTTCTTATAGAATGTTTGGGGTCAGTAGGACTATTTTGCTACTTTTATTCAGCAATCACACACTAAACTGATCAAAAGTGACATCTGTAATGTTACAAAATGTTTCTGTTTATTAAATATTTCTCTCTATTAAACTTTAAATTGATCAAAAATATCAAACAAATAGGTTAGCCATTTCTACATTGATAAGATTATTCATTATTCATGATCAGTGTTGGGTAAAGTTACTGTTGAAATTAATGCAATACAATATTGAAAAAATCCCCCCAGAAAATAACTCATTGCGTTACTTAGTTACTTTTCATGGAAATAAATTTGTTATATGACCTTTGAGTTATTTTTGCATTACTTTTCCTTATTTGCCTGAGGTTTAGTCTCTTTCAGAACTTGCAGGTGTTTTTTCACCTTTTTCACGGAGAAGCTCTGCATTTAACATCCACCTATAGAATCTACAAATTCATTTTCCTAGTGTGTAGGTAAATGATTTTTTGACAACTTTCTGAGCCTAGAGCTATACATGCTGTACAGATTAATGACAGAATGTAGTGTGTTTGCTAATTTTGAATGTTTTGTGTAATTAGTTAAGCAAATTCACTGTCAATTGAGATAAAGATTGAATAAAGCCTAAGAGTACCAACATAAAATATTTTAACAACTAAAAATGTAAAATGTTTAATAACAAAATGAACAGAAAGACGAAAAAAAAATCCCCAAATTAAAATAAATCTCTGAGCTTTATCCATTGATTAAATTGCTTCATGTGGCCTTAACAAATGTGTAAAAACTTACTATTTTACAAAACGTCGTCACATTTACAGTAACGTTAGACAGTGGCTGCATCTCCTCAACAATAAAAGCAATAACCAATTCTTTTAGTTTATTTGAATTTATAGTTTTACCTGGAGAAGGTGAACTGATGCAGTACGCTCTCTCATTAGTGTGTGATTTTTACTGACATTTTTATTCCGCAATATATTTTGTAGAAGCTAATAAAGCAAGGTAAAAAGTAACCAGCGTTACATTTTTTTTAAAGTAGCTCAAATATTATTACTTATTTTTAAAAGTAATCCGTTATATTTCTCATTACTTTGGAAAAGTAATATTATATCGAACGCACATTAAAACGTGTTACCCCAACACTGTTCATGATAATAATAATTAATAATCATCATCTAATACTTAAAGGTAGAGTTCACCCAAAAAAGAAAATTCTCTCATCATTTGATCAACCTTCACTTGCTTTAAACCTATTTGAGTTTTTTCTTCTGTTGAACACACACACAAAAAAAAGATTTTTATATTTTTTTAAATGTTGATTGCTGGTGTCTTGACATTTTAATCTACCCATCAGATTATGCTACCAAGTACCAACACTGTATCTGAATGGTTCTGAGGATGGGGTTAGGAATCAGGTAGGTTAGGGCGATATGCAGCTTCATATAACACTACTCCACAATAAAATCTACACTGGTAGCAAAATCTGATGGGTGGTCATCAAAATGTGCTGCCTGTATACGTTTTGAATGGGAGATAGGACAATCTGACAAGGTAGGACAAATCGACAGAACAACTGCACCTATTAACTTTCCATAAGTGTTTTTTTCTACTATATGGATGTCAATGGATGCCAGCCAGCAGCATACTTCAAAATATCTTCTTCTGTGTTCAACAGATAAAAGAAAATCATAAAGGTGTATAACTACGTGAGGAAGAGTAAAATATGAGGTCATTCAAAATTTTGGGTGAATCATGTTTTTTTCCACCGAATATTGATTTCTTACCTCTTCTGAAGTTTAAACATTTGTATTGTGTTATCTAAAATAAACATAAACACATCTGAAGACATTTTAATGCAAAAATGACAACATTTTTAACATAAGACTTGCAGTAATGTTTGGCTCAAACACAACTATGATTTGTAGATGCTAGAGACATTTCTCCTGATTTATTTTCTTTTTATATAGATTTATTTTAGCTAACATGTACTTCATTTTTACTTACTAACAATTTTTTGGGAGGGTGGAAATGGATTATTTAGTGATTCAAGGTTGTAAAAGGACTAATACATATTAATGTATTGCATTACAGATTGTCAAATGTAGGCTACAACAGTACTTGAAGAACACAAAAGTGAACTTACAGTAAATGCTAATAAAATATTGCTATGCATAATTTGTTAGTTTTGTAAAAATATGACATGTATTGTGGTGGTCACAGTAACTACAACCTCAAAATTCAGGCAAACCCCTGGTGTGCTTAATAATGAAAGCTAAAATTTCTTAAATTGGCATATTAGTCAATGAATTTTCAGTTTTTTTTCTCTTAATGCAGCACTTGAAGTCTTCTTATTTTGAAGTGATTCCCTCTCGCCCCCTTAACAAAACACCAGTGGCCATGCCATTTGTCCACTCACCCTGAAGAACTCTTTGGTGGAGCCTGAGTCAAGAGTGCCGTACGCGATGTCTGTCTGCTTGGCCAGATCCTCAGCACTTTCGATGGGCGACACCATCCTCTCCACAGTCAGGAAAGCTGCCAGGTTTGCAGTGTAGGAGGAGATGATGATGAGGGTGAAGAACCACCACACTCCACCCACGATACGGCCAGATAGAGACCTGCAAAGCCGAGAGGAAAATGACCGTGCAGGAGGGTTTGAAGAAGTGGAGAATGACAGAGCAATGAACATGAGAGGATATCGTTGAGGGAAGGAAAAAGAAGGGTAGAGGGAATCGAGGAGAGTTGGAGGAAAAAGGACAGAAATTGTTAGAAAGCATTGTCAATATAGAAATTGAAATAAAAATAAACTGCAAGGGTATGCAGCCAAATTGGCGGCTTGTTCTGCTTATTTAAATCAGCTGAATCAACACAATTTTTGAGTTTTTTTGGGACAACTTAATTGTTTTATGTTTAATCTACTCAGTGGTGGAAAGATTACTGAAAAATAATACTTAAGTAACACTATGTGAAGTTTATTTCTAAACTTATTTCGAGAGGATCACGTGCTTATGATTGCAGCTGGATCCACATTATTACACGATTCCTAAGCTACTACAAATGAACCCCCGGTTAAGTACCACCGATATCTTCGTTTTGAAGATTCCCCCCTTCCACCCCTACTCCTCCTTCTAGATGGGTGACACGGTGGCCCAGTGCTTAGCACTGTTGCCTCACAGCAAGGACGTCTCTGGTTCCAGGCTTTACCAAACCAGCAGACGTTTCTGTGCAGAGTATGCACTTTCTCCCTGTGCTCACATGGGTTTCCCCCAGATTAGACGAGATCTATCTGAGCTCAAACTCCCCTCTTGCCTTGCAATGGGAGGGAGCCCCGGGCTCAAGGATCTTAAGAGCTCAGGGCTCTATCACGGGACAGCATGCCAAAGTAGCTTATAATTAATCAACAGCTAAGTGTGAACTGTTGAATTGCCCAAAAATGAAGTGCAAGTAGAGTAAAAGTATCTGTTGTAAATATTACTCAGAGTATGAGTAAAAAGTAATCATTTTAAAAGTGCTCAAGGGTAGTGAGTATTACAAAGTGAAAGGTTGATGAGTTTACAGTACATGCAGTTTATGCATATATGTGTGTGTAAACGTAACATTCTGTAGTGTATTTAATGATTGTTTAAGGCCATTTGATGATTTTAGTCAACATACAGTAGGCATCCACCATCTTATCAGTGACATGCAGTCTCTGAGTGATTGCGTGTAGTTTAAAGATTTTGGACATCTTCTTGAACACTTTTCAAACATGTCTTGAAATTGTTCAATAGAATACAAAATTGTAAAATAGATTTTTATTCTCAACATGTCTTTCCTGGTAAAATAAAAAGTTTTAATAATAATAAAATTATCATTAAAATTCGATTGGGCTGGAGTTGCAAGACTGCAAGAAAAAAATAGTGACTGAAGGCTGAAGGAAAACAATGGAGTAAAAGAACTAATACTGCACTAAAAATATACTCAAGGGAAAGTACACACCTTAAAAAACTACTTAATGAATTACAATTCCTGAGAAAAACTACTTACAGTAATTTGAGTATTTGTAATTTGTTACTTTACACCACTGAATCTAAGCGATTTGGGTTGGGACATTATTTTATGACATTATATTATGACTTTTCAGATCTAAAAGATGTTTTTTCCATTCAATTCAATTCAGTTAAAATCAAATGTATTGTGCTTTACACAATAATTTTGGGATGCTCAAGATGTATACTATTGTTTAACAAAAGTTAGTCAATTGTATGATTTTATTTAATAATAATAATAATAATAATAATAATAATTCCTTACATTTATATAGCGCTTTTCTGGGCACCCAAAGCGCTTTACACACAACGGGGGGATCTCATCATCCACCACAAGTGTGCAGCATCCACCTGGATGACGCGACGGCAGCCATTTTGCGCCAGACCGCACACCACACACCAGCTGATTGGTGGAGAGGAGACAGTGATGAAGCCAATTGGAATATGGGGATGGTTAGGAGACCATGATAGACAAAGGCCAGTGGGCAGATTTGGCCAGGATGCCGGGGTTAAACCCCTACTCTTTTCGAAGGACATCCAGGGATTTTTAACGACCACAGAGAGTCGAAACCTCGGTTTAACGTCTCATCCGAAAGACGGCGCTCACTGAGCAGTATAGCATCCCCGTCACTATACTGGGGCATTAGAACCCACACAGACCGCTGGTTGGGCGCCCCCTGCTGGCCTCACTAACACTACTTCTGGCAGCAACCTAGCTTTCCCATGTGGTCTCCCATCCAGGTACTGACTGGGCGCAGCCCTGCTTAGCTTCAGTGGGCGACCATGTGAGAGTTGCAGAGAGCTAGCTGCCGGATTTAATCAAATCTGTATGTGTTGACTCAACTTAAAACAATTGCTCAGTGTAATTTTTGTAGAAAAAACATTTCCCAGGATACTTTGCAGTAAATTTCACAACTTGAGTTGTAAACAAAAATGTATTTAGCACTAGCCACCCCGAAGAAGCACCACAAATAATAAATCAATCTCGCTATGGTCACATACTGTGTGTATTTTTTTCAATAAACTTGAAATATATTGTTTATAAAATTAATAAATTAATTTAAATTAATAGTTTTATAATTTTCAATGGTTTTTAATTTGGCTGCTATTTGTAATTCTTTATGGGATGGAAATTCTTTACCAAATTTAAAGGTTAGTCCACTAAAATATTATTTCTAATAGGTATACACTTGTTCAAACCTGAGTTTCTTTTTTATCTATTGAACACAACAAGTTATTTTAGAGAATGCTGGTTGTTGGCACCCATTGAATTCCATCCTATGGAAGTTATTGCGTAGTATCAACCAGCATTCTTCAAAATGTCCTCTTTTGTGTTGTACAGAAGAAGAAACTCATAAAGGTTTAATGGAGTAAATGGTGAGATAGTTTTCACTTTTGGGTGAACTATCCTTTTAAAGCCATTCACAGTATTGTACCTTTATTATTGTCTCTTATTTTAATATACTTCTTTGCTTCAAAGTTTGTAATTTGTGATTCTCTTCATAGCTGCTTCATTTGGCTCATAGCTTACATCTCTATAATAAAGACTTTAATAAAATCCTTATGTGAAAAAAGGAATAGGAAAAAAAATTCCGGTGACTACAGAAGGCACTGCAGATCTTCAGTGTCTTACAGCATGAAAAGCAACTCGTGAACAGTGTTTCAGTGCAGTGATGTTTTAATTGACTGTGTAGGTGAGGGTCTCCTCCACACAGAGGGAGATCTCCATCCGACTGGCTTGCCGTCAACACATATTGGCTATTTAGAGTGGGCCGTCGGGAACGTCAACCACGATGGGGATGAAGTGCTAAAACCCAACGCTGTTTACATTTACACCTCATCCTAGTTATGCAAATCATTTGACAGGACAGCATTGTGAATTTATGCAGGCCTTTGCTTCTTTTCGTGCAGTCAAGGAAACAACCATGTTGTTAAAGGAAGAGTTTATCCAAAAATGAAAATGACCACATTAATTACTCACCCTCAAGCCATCCTCTGTGTATTTTTTTCTGTCAGATGAAAACAGTCAGAATAGTTTTAAATTTGATCCTGGCTTTTCCGAGTGGTATAGTTTAATGGTGTTGGATGGTGGCTTTTGTTCTGAAACTTCCAAAAGCGCACAAATTTAAAAACTCATATATCGCCAGGGCTTTTTTTACACGTCTTATGATGTGGATCGATGTGTTTTTGTAACAGAAATTTTTAAAATTAGGGATTTAAAGATTTACCGTGAGCTTGTTGAAAATAGATTAAAATATATGACGATTCATACCAGTAGAAATCTTGAGCAAATCGCGATATATTTTTGAACAAAGGGTTTATAGTCGCAAACTTGATTTACCTGTACATCAGTGGCAAGCAAGAGGTGGTGTGGCGGAGTAAAATGACAGCGGTAAAGTGCGCCAGACAAACACAAACTGTGTGTAAATACTGTGAAAACACATTTACTTGCAGAAGAACGAGTATGATGCACATAAACCAAGCAGACCAGATGATTTGCAGATCCGCTTGATCCGACGAGTGCTACTGAGATCACACGGTGCATCAGTGCTTTCATAATGAAAGTGTGAAGATGTTTTTCAGACTGACAGAGAAAGTTGTTCTGTTACAGAAACAGGTAATAAATTATTATTACTCACGCCTTTTCAAATTAGTGTATGCATATTTTAATAATTTGATTATTATTATTAAATATTAAACATGATTATCTCTTCTTAAGTGTATCACACTGATACTTATACTAATTAATTATACAAGCAATGTTAATTATTCACCTTCATAATCATGTTCAACTCCTGTCTTTGCCCTACTATATAATTAGATCTTTTTTTTTTTTTTACCGCTGTCTTTTTTTTTTGGATTAGGAAAGGCTTACCTCTCCACACCAGTCATCTCAGTCCCCAGTAAAACAGTTTTTTCAGCAGGGGACATTGTAAATGTGCAAAGACCTCAGCTTATGTCAGAAAACAGAGAGATACTGATCTTTCTTTTGAAAAATGTCAAATCCCAGCACAGTCACAGTTTTAGTGTGTTTAAATAAAAGAGTCTTCTTTAGTTTGTACTATTACTATTTATTTTGGAATTAATTTGTTTTAAAAATAGCAATTTGGTTATGGCACAAAATATATTATTTTGCAAAACAAATTTCAAGCATTTAAGAAAAAAAGGTAAGGGCTCTTTAAATTTGCTTCTAATAATTAAAAAAAAAATTGTGCCTAAGTGAAGTTTCACAAACTAATTTTAAGAGAAGCATGTGATATGATTGATCGCAGCTGGTCTCTCATCTATAATCATTAGTTGGCCAATCAGATTAAACCAAACTCACTATAAGTAGGCTGGCTAAAACTACTCCCTTATCTTCATTTTTTTGAAGAAACCCCCCATCCACCCCTTCTCCCCCTTTCCTCCTTTACCAGGGGAAGCTCTTAAGAATCTCGTACTCCCCTTACATGCTCATTGACCAGATGGGAGCCCTGGGCTCAATTATCTCCAAGCTCAGGGTTCTCTACTGGGACAGCATGCCAAACCTGCTATTATTTTCAAGCATGATCTAAGTGCGAACTCTTGAAATCGTGAATTGTATCGACTAC